AATGTGTAGAAGAATTATATTTTTATTATTTAAAATAAATCTGAAAATAAAACGTTATGAATGTTCGTTTTAAAACGATTATTCACTGTCAATATGTCTGTAATATCCCGTCATTTCAATTTCTATAATGAAACTGAAGTAACCTTTGATTGTGTGCTTAGAATATTAACGGATCGTTGGTGGTTAGTCTGAATATCAAGCGCTCATAAACGATGTCTTTATTTTGACCATTGTGGAATAATCCTTTCTTTAAAAAAAGCACAACATAATACAACGTAATAGCAATGCATCATAAATTTGTATATTGTTTGAAATAATAGACTACAATAGTAAAAGAAACGAGCACCTGTTGAGCCAAGCTGAAGTGTTGAATTTTAATCCATCTGGTGTTTTTTCGCAATAATTTTGAACTGTTTACTCCTTTAAATAAATTACGAGCTGTGAATAACTTATTGCTGTATTGAAATTATTTTAAGTGTGCTTTTTATTATAAACGCCAGTTTCGACGCAAACGTAGCATCGATTCAGTGACTGAATTAAACAAAAGAGACGTCTATGGTAGAACACGCGACTCATTTAGTTTATTTAAATAATCCTTACTTACATTTTTTCAATTATTACTTTAAACTGTAAAACAAAAATAAGAATCCACTCAAATCAATTTACCTTTTTCGTCGTGTGTAGGAGTCGCTGTAGTAGGGATATCAAACCATTGAGCCAGGCTATTAGAATACCACACAGCCAATTCCTCTCCGGGTTGTATGTCTCTCAAAGCTCTGTAAACAATCTGTTAAAAAAGAAACATATTTAGGTGTGTTTACAAGTCATGCGAATATAAACAATGCCGGCCGATCTACATGATGTGTACATTGAAAAACGCGCTGTCGCATACCTGTCCTCCGGGGAGATCGGCGGTAGCTTCGAGATTCTGCTCCTGACAGTTTCTGGCTGCTCGGATTAACCCTATCCACTCCGGGACAGGGCTCCCTGCTTCATCCACAAAATCGCCCCGCAACAGCCGAATCTTTGGGAATAAAAGAAACAAATATGAAGAGATCGACGTTCAAAAAATGTTTTGATACTTAACTGCCCGAACAAAATGGAAAACGAAAAAATGAAGTGGTTTTCTCATGGTTTTTCAGATACATGCATTCGGAAGGGGGGGGGATAAAGACATAAAGTAAAATAATGTTTTTTGATGGAAGAAAACACAAAAATAACTTAATTCGAATAAGGCCCTGCCCTGTTAAATTGTGCTTAATGTTGCGATTCTGAACCACGTTTATTCCTAAAATCAGAAGAGGGTGAAGACGGTGAAGTCGAATCTCAAGTCATGAAAGATTAATACTGGACGGTACATTGTTTTTGACAGACTGAAAAGCGCTCATATTTTACTTTGCCAAAGACTGTATAATTGAGCTTAAACGAGAAACAAATGCGAGGGAGTGTCAAAGCGTTTCTAAACGCTTAAAGCAAATTAAAAATTAAAGCGTGAAACTTGACGTGGGGTGTGCACCTGATAATATACCAAGCCCGGAGCATTGCGGTTAAGAACATTAATCAAAAACGTGAACAGCATGAAGAGCTTCTTACCTAACGTGTCCATACTATATCTATATTATATAGCCTGTACGGAAACATATTGAAAATGCAACAAAAAATGTTTCATAGTCTTGTTTAAGAACATAGAATGTGGGTAAAGGTAAAAAATATCTTTTGGTAAATTAAAGAAACTAACCAAGTATTTGAGTTATCGAAAAAAAAGTACTTTTAATAAATCAATAAATATAACCCTATTGTCTTTTCTTTTTATTTCCGCCAGTCCTCTTTTTGTGGTTCTGTTAGCATCTATCCCTAGGCAGATTATTGAAATTTAAATAAATTGTTAATTGAAATAAGTAGGCTATATCGTTTTAATGAGTAGACGGCATTAAATATTACATATCAATTCGTATTTGCTTATTAAAGCTATTGAAGAGAGTTTTGCACTGACATGTAGACCCACTGAGAAAGATCAATTATTTCGAAACTGACAGCACAAACCAATTAATAAAGAAAAGCATCTAATGAAGTATGACATGTCCACCTCGCTGCTGAAACCATGCCGAACCGCTTCATTTTACCTGCTGTTCCGAGGGTGTGGAAATACCTATTAATCCTAAATTTAAATATTAACGAAAATCCGGTTATCTCGCAACACAATCTAAGTTTTAATCAAGACTAAACTTCAAAATGTTCTTAAACAAATTTTAAAAAATCTAGGTTTTAAATCTCAACAGCTGTTGGGACTTTAAAAAATAAACAAACTTAAAAAATATTCAATAAAATAACACTTAACTACATGATTTCCTATTTTCCGACTTAAAAGACATTCAATAAGGAAATGAGTGAGTTGAATTTCTTTACCTTTTTTTTGAGCCCAGGCTCCTTGCGATCTGACATGTACTTTCCTAATTTGAAGACGCCCGGCACCGGCCCTATCCTTAGACCGGCTGGGATGCTGCTCTCTGCACACACGCTAATGGCCGGAGCCCTTGTTGCTTGCATAGCTGGCTCTGAGTACAAAAGTGATCAGAACCAGGAAGACCAAAGAGGGGTGGACTGATTGAGACAGGCAAAGACACAGAGATGAAGACAGGCTTATCTCCGCCTGCAAAGTGACGCGGTGGCGTATGTGCTCCGGCTTTTCAAATGAACAGGAGGGTACCCCTTGGCACATTAATGCACTAGGGCGAACAGCTCGGTGAGAGAGTTTAGCTCTTTTCGCAGCTGCAGAGATCTCTCCAAGAGGGTCACATGGAGACTTTCCCTAACCCTCCTGCATAATCAACTGCTCGAAATGGTCAGGAAACAATAGGCCAGGCGACCTTCCCATTCCTAAAATCCAATTTGTCAAGGGCAAAGAAAAGGCTCTGGTGAATCAAAGGTCTGGGGAGACCATTAATCCTCAGCATGTGGCATTGTCCCAGAGACAGTTACGATATTTTAAGTGACAAATCCACTGTATAATTTCTCCATAAATTTTGTCTCCTTTTATTGTTCCTATACAAACCAGTTTTTGGAAATCAGCGACTATTTTAAATCTACTTGGCTGAATCCCTTTAGGTTTAATATACTTCAAAGGTCTTTATTCGCTTTCCTTGGCTTTATTGTATGACTTGGTTAACAAAGACAGCAGGAATGTTTGGAGGACTTGTTAACTTCTATTGATTCCTGGCGTGTGCCTCGCTGAAACTGGGCAGGTACTTGATGGGAAAACACCAGAAAAATAGCAACAGCTTTCAAAATAACCACCATCTTATCATTTCACACTTCTGGCTTTCTAGTCATCAGATTTGCGTGCAAAGTGTTTTCTGTTGCTGGCTTTCTTGTACAAAAATGAAAAACGTACTACAATTAGAGTAAAGCAGGTATGGTCTACTATTTGTAGTAATGCACGTTTCCTGAAGTCATTTTAAAGCGACCTTTCAGATAGCACGATGTGCTTTAGTTCTAAACGAAAATCTTTTAATGGCGTTATAGACCTACTTTGTCTTATTCTACGTCTATTCAGCTTTTGCCCATTATTATCTAGTTTATAATAACCAACTAATTATATTAGGAGTATAAGCACAAATCTTTAGGGCACACTCAAAATATACAACAGCACTATTATTCCGTCTAAAGAACTCTAATATGCCGGATCGGAATTTAGATCTAGGCCGCCAACGATAAAATTAAATACGTATAAACAGCTTTCCTATATCACTGTCAACAAATTCGAAAACATTGATATTAAGAAAAGTGAATGTTGATTTTCGAACAGCAAATGCAACATTAAATTCAATATGTCTTTATATTTAATGTAATTTTTCCCCCCAGATCTAAAGGTTTCGGTTTTTCAAGTCATGTAAACGGTTTTATCTACAGTAGTTGGCGAGGTACAGGAACGAGAAAAGTAAGGCACCGTTAATTCAGCGGTCTGGGAAATGGCTGTCCTAGCCTACTTGTGACTACAGCCAGGGTTGAAAACTGTGTATGACCCCTTTGATCATCTGTCTGAATGGCAGAAAAAGAGAAGAAGAAAACAACAAGAAGTTGCGGGCAATAAATTTAAGCCATGAACATGTCCCGCTAACCTCTGGCCTGGCGACTTTAGGATGACACTCGGTTTTAATTGGAAGAGCAGAGGTGGAAGCCTTTTCGCCGTAAAGGTACCCCACAGCTCCATTTGGGGAGCCGTTCTATTCCCTTCTTAATGAGTCAAACAGCGTGAACGACACGCGAACAATTTTATCAATAGGACCATGTAAAGGCCGGCTGTGAGGAAAGTTATTTATTAATGTTGCCATTTGTGACTGGTTCCCATCCACCAAGAAAAGAAAGACCCGGCTTTAGTACCGTTCACACCAGCCATCCGATTTTTATTCTTGTCCTGTGGCTCAAAGTTGAAGTTCTCCAAGTGAAATAAATTGTTCACAAAAGAGGGAAGGAAGACATTTTCTTTTATATATTCCTTCCTCAAAAAGCAAGGGTGAAACCAATCTAATGTGCCCACTGGAGCAAGATCCAAAATGAAAGGCTGGGTGTTAAAAGTGAAAGCAGTGTTCGAAGCAAATGGGATGGAAAATTAAATGAAATTAAATAGCTTGAACGACGGCATTGTCCCGTCTTAAAAAGACACATTAATTACATGGTTTCAGCTTTATTCCAGAACAATGTTGTGGACTCAATCAAAACATTCCAGCACTCTTTTTATAGACTTAAACCGTGCTTCAGAAGCTGCCAGTTAGGGATCGAACTGTGCACTCGAAATAAACTTTGAGATCAGTTATTTTAATGACTTATGCCTATACAGTTGAACCGCCAGTGCCTCTGCCTTACAATTCTCCATTAATGGGGGTTTTGATTTAACAGGTTGCCACACAATGAGCCATGAATGTAGAAGAACAACAACTGTCTAAAGAGGCTCAGTTACAGGGTGCAATGTCCCACCAGGAAACTCCATTCAAGACATCAAACTGCTCCAGAGCACAGAAGGTTCAACATTGCGTTTAACTCAGCATGAATGCCTTAACGGGGCTAACACAGGGCAGAACACATTTCTGATGCCAACCAAAAACTTCAAAAATCGAAACGTGGACTTCAAAAATGAACATTACGCTTCCTTTTTCTTTACTAAACTGTTTAGATTTTTAAGTTGACTTAAAAAAAGGAGTCGTCGGTGCCTTCGTGTTTTTTTCCCGTTTTTCACCTGAATTGTCTCTTATGTCCAAAACTGTGTACTGTACGTGGTGTTTTATTTAGAGGTTTAATATCTGACCAAGGGCTTTCTATGGCTCGTTTTGTAATTATAGTCATCTTAACTTTTTATTTAATATTTAGTTTTGTTATGATTCGTTGACTGAGCAATAATGGCAAAAAAAAAACAACCTTTGTGGCCCTGTAGAAACCGGAGTTTACTGCTGTCGTTTACATATACCGCTTCTGGATAGGAGCAAAGGAGGGAACATCCCGACGGTCTGTTTTACTTCTCGGGTTTAAATAATTTCACTTTTTTAAAAAAAAAATCTGTTATTTAGGAATATAATATTTGTGTACCTTTAATCTCCTCCTAGTGTGTGATTAATTTTAATTAGATTTGCCTTCTCACTTCGGTAGTGAAGGGAAAGATCAGGCTGTACAAAGGAGCCCCGACCAGCTGTGCAGCATATAGGAGATGCGGGTGGGATATTAAGTCAGCTTTTGAATAGTAATTATGCTTGTATGGGAATCCCACCAGATGACATGATTGGGATTTTAACCTAGACTAATATTCAAAATCGCATTAAGAAAGTAGCGAAATAAGTGACAACTGAATCGGTGCTGTTCATGCGTGCTCTCATTTCTTTAAATACTCCCTTTTAAAGAAGGGAGTGCTTCATTAAAGTATTCAAAGCCTGGATGGAGTTAGCTCTCCTTTTTGAACCAAATTTCCCTAACTTTAACTCACTTGTTTCGGTTGAAAAGACGCGGATAAAAGGGAGTAAACTTGTCTGAATTGAAATGTTTCGGTGTACCTTATAAATTCATACCTTTTCTCACTCGATCGCCTTAGAATGAGCTCGTCACTCAATTCGATTTTCCTTGCTGTTGGTCACATTTAGTAGAGACTCTATTTGTGAAGTTCATTTCTAGGCAAATGTATTCAGAGGCTGATTGGGATGAATAGGACTGTGTGTCAGCCGCCCCTAATTGGGATTAAAGCACTTAGAACCATATGCATGGAGTGACAGAAATTCTCAGGTTTCAGTGAATACAAAATTTCGTCCTGAAAGATGGCTCTCTGAGTGATAATTAAAACAGGACCAATTCAAATGCTCTGAGCGATAGGTAGCTTGCATTTCCTTTCATTCTTAAATTCACTGATGTTATTAGTACTTTTCTGACTAAATTTTAAATTATGGCACAGAAATCTATTATTTTGAGCAAATCTTTCCTCCCTTTAGTCTTCGAAACACCTGGTTTCGGAAGAGTAGCTGTGACAATGAGATGCCTTGTGTTATTACACACTTTTCTGAATTATTTTCTTAACTTTTGGGGGAAAAATATTTTAAAGGAGATCGTGTTTGATTTTTAAATCAAAGGATACCGATATCCAAAAAAGTCGCGATTAGTAATCCTAAACCTTTCATAACAAAGATCTCTCCTCTCCCATTATTCAATATATTCGGTTAAACAACGGGTATTGTAATGAGAATGATAAGGATTTCTAATATACAAAAATAAAAATGTATATTGATTAAAGTTCAAATTTTAATTAAAACATGTTTTCAATGTGGTTAATTTTTGTTATTGTTTTCAAACACCTATTTCTACATTTTAAAATATACTGTGATTAAGAAAGCTGTGCTCATAATTGGATTTCTATAATTATAAAATTCCTGTTAAAAACGTTGTGTGTTTGGATTTTAAAATACGTGGTTACATTGAAATAATTACGTTCTTTAGAATGGTGTTTTCGAAAAACGGTTTACTTCTTTTTCGTATTTCTTTCTTTCATTACAGACATGTATAGTTACAATCAATAATATACTGTACTGTATATTGTACCATTTAATACAATGATGTACTGTATAACTGTCTGCTTTAATTAAATAGATTTACCTTTTCAGTATCTCCAACAATTGTTTTTCGTTTTTTTCATGTTATATTGCTGAACCAACAAAAAATATATTTTTTAAAATCTTTCTTTCATTGCAGACTCGTTCTAGAAACTACTTACAGTAACTGATTTTGTGAAAACATTTGATTGTCTTAAGATTGGGGTCATTTAAAAAGTCAGTTTAAATAACCTTTAAATATAACAAAATGTATTCCATGTAGTGGTGAGATCTAAAACTTTAATATATAATTTTAATTTTGTGTATGTGTGTGTAATACTGGCAGTTAAGCGCGTTGTTAAAAAATATTGGTACAATCTGTTTTCCCGAGTTTTGTTAAGAAGAAAAACGAAACTCAGTTACTTTACGTAACTTAACATATACTGTACTTAAACATCACCATTACTACATAGCTGTGAAAAAATGTTTAGTTTTATTTACAAATGGACATAAAGGCTAGTGATGATTCTGTAGAATACGTACTGTATCTAAATTGTTAAGATAATTTTCCAGCATCCCCATGTTTACCTACAGTTACTTTAGCGAGCTGTTAATAAATACACTCAATGGGGGTATTATACAGTTCTATGAAATAAACAT